AAATAATAAATATTTCCTAACTTCTATATAAATTATTCGATCGACTTGAAAATACAGTGGTTCTTCTACGTCAAAAATTGAATCGAAAATATAGAATAAAATTTTTCTATTTGAGGGTTTGTTCTCAAGAAAAACGACTTAGAAGATTTGTGGGGCACGTGCCGGGTTGCCTCAATACAACGGACATTGTCGTAGGCTACTGGTTCCTTGAATTTTAAAAAGAAAATAATGAAGTGCAATCGTTTGCAATTTCATTAAAAATGTACTGTTACGTTGAAAAAGATTTGTTGAAACTTATTGAGAAGAGTACGATTATGAATGCACCAAAATAAACGATATTTTGAGGAATAACTTAGGTAATAAAAAGTAAATTAATAAAAGAATCTGTTTCGAAAGTGAACGTTCAATATTTCGTATAACTTTGAATACCGACTAAAATTAATTCGAATAGAAAAATTCGTATAATATACAAAGAAATCCTGGTGCGCCATAAATTTCCAAAGTTGTTTTTCTTAGAAAGCCTCACATGACAAAACTTTATTCCACATTTTCAATTCATTTTTTCATCTGGAATAACTATGTTTGTCTAGTATCTGTATATCTATTACCATCATGTTTGTATTGTACAATATAGTGGTTAAAATAGAACTTTGGCGTCACGGTTGGAAAGTGACAATATACTGAATTACAGGGAACGTGTAATTAAACAACAATGGAAGAAAATTTGAATAAAAACGGAGCGAACAAGCGGGGCGTAGATTCGTTTAGCACGATTTAAAATGGACGCGTTCATAGAAGAATGGAGTTATCGAACGTTCGAAATAAACTGCGTAATGGTCGTCGAAATTATTCACCGGGTATCCGCGGAAGCTTTTGTCGGGGGATTACACTGTTCCGGCAAATTTAATAGAAAACTCTCGACGCGAATGCCGAATTCGAATGTCCCCCCACGCGTGGGCCGAAACTTTCGAGCCTTGACGACTGGCAGCCTGGTCGGAAGAGATACGCTGTTGTACAAGTCTATGGAATTCCCTCGTGTACGCGAACCAGAATATCGATCTTCCCTTTATTGCACCAACCAAGAAGAGCCGCGAGAAATCGCGTCTAAAACCGACCGGAATACTCCTTGTATTCTCGTCTTTCGTGCAATTTTATATTTAGTAAAAATTATATTAGAATCGTTGACAAAATCGAGGAATTCTTCAACCCTCCAACGGTGGACCCGGCGTTCATTTTTATTTATACGAATTTGAATCCCTGTATTTCGTATTTCTTTAAAAAGTTTCTGATTTAAATTCTGAATTATCGTATTTAATTGTTAAAAAATCAAGATTTTACAATTTTAAAATAAGGGTAGTCAATGTTCTCGAGTAAAAATCTCACAAAATATGGCAGCTTGCAAATATAGTATAAGGTTACAGAAAAAGATACAGTAATGTAATAATGTAATAATTTCTAATTAACAGTTAATGATTACACGTTTGATTCGAAATGAAATTTACAAATAACGCTATTTTATTATTAATTACGAGTATGTTTGTACATTTTGGGATAGAATAAAAGAAAAATGGGGAATGGAAGTTAAAGATTTAATGTTATTTAATATTACTCGGAGGAAATTGTTCAAGCGTTTCAAATACAGATTCCCACAATTTCGACAAATGCTCAGTAGCATACTGGATTAAGCAGGAATTTTGGTTCAAATTGGTTGCATAGTGCTGGATATTGCGTAAATATTTCTTGCATAACTTCCTGGTCGTTTCATAATTTTTTTAAACAAATTTCACTCACAACTACTCTTTTAACCTCTTTTAACTCTTTTAATTGTCTTAAATTCTAAAATTATGAATAATTTCGATATGATTAGAACATTGATTTTGAAAGAGAATATTTACAATGGTGTTTCAAATTTCCATGCTTGGAAAACATTTTTCGTATTTCATATCGATACAATATAACAAAAATGGACTCCAGAAAATAAGTAGTTTATTATATACTTATAAAATGTATGGATTTCTACGATTTTTCATGCATTTATTACGAACTTATATAATGTATGAATTTCCAAATCTTTGTAAATTATAATGCATTATTTAGACAATTTTTGAAGTTTCCAGAGAAGATTTACAGAGTTCATAAATTTTGTACACAATCAACGAAAAATTTTATTTTTAGTTTCCTTACATCGAAGTTCTTGATAAAAACAGCGGGTAAAAATTTGTATTAGTTTTCTACGATAAAAAGTTTATCCAGATAAAATTTTCATTTAAATAAACTTTTGTCCACTTCGTTGGGGTGGATTTTTATTTTAAAAAAGTCTGCTAAAATTAACATTAGAAAGTACTAAGCAAATTTGTACATATATATAGTTGGAATCGAAGCGAGTGAGCATAAAAAACATTTTTATCATTTTTCTTTTTATATACATTTATACAAACCACACAGATACCACATGCTACACATCACACGCATGCTACACACACCGCAACAGATACCATAAATTTTATAAGTATATAACAAATGCATGAAAAGTTTGTGCAAAATTTTATTTGCAAAAAATTCCGAAAACTTCCATAAAAAATATCAGCACGTAGGATTATTTTTAACCCTAAAAATTACACTAAGTTTTTATTCAAAATAAACCCTTATTGGTTTATATCTTTAAAAGTTTTTTGGAATAAAATTCTATTGCAATATATGAATTCTGTTTGAAAATATTATATAAATTAATGTTTATTGGAATAATTATTTCAGCAGGAATATATCGGAATAACGTCGAATTCAGCCTGAAGAACCATACTTCAGATTCGAGGAGGTCGATAGAGTAAATTACGGAATTTGTTTATGTATAAACAGATGAGCGGGAAAACACTTGTAATAAATGAGGATTTTTCGAAATCACCCACGAGTTTTTAACGGATTTTCAATCAAATCAGGTCATAGAATTGGTTAATAAATTTTTAACGAAATATAAAATAATATCAAACTAAAATAGAAACTTTATAACTCCTCTACGTGTTAAATATAAACCGAAATTCTTTGTAACAAAATTTATTCTAATAAAACACGTTATATAAAAATAATTTCAATAATCAAACGAATTGAATTGCTATCAATTATTATACAAATTTATTAATAGGTAAATTTTCTTCTCGATTATTTTTATGTAATAAAATGTTTCATCTTGATCAAATTATGTTTAAACAGTTAGGATCGTCTTTTGTCAGGTAAAATATTTTACCGTACGTGTAGTGTGTATGTGTGTGGCACAATCGTGTACCCTGCCCGCGCGCGCGCGCGTGTGTCTGTATGTATGTGTGTAGTGACCTAAGTTTAGTGACAATCTGATCCCACGTTCTAATGTTTAATCTTTCCATGGAGCTGCTAATGTCAAAGAGCAATGCGACTGACCAGCTTGGATACGCTTCGAAGCGGATTCATTTCACCTCGATCCACGGATCGTGATCCAGGTATCCTTCGAAACCTTCGATGTATCGCTTTTTCAAGTCGTTCGTAGGCGAGGATCCAGAAAAGTAAGGAACCGTTACATAGAATGAAATTCGCGAGTGGTTTGTTGCAATTTAGTAGAGAGTGGAATTTGTAGAAAGTTCTAGATCCTCGCGAAAAACGACAGCAAGGATCGTTTCCAACGAACGCGTTAAATGCGAGCCTGTAGGATCGTTCGAGCACACCGCAGAATAATATATAAAAACGAGCTGACCGAACGACATCACGACGAATGTCAATCAAATAACACTGCAGTCCACACCAAGTAACAATATTGAAATATATATAATATATAGATAATATATAAATATGACGTATGACGTCCAAGACCAGCGCATCGCAGAAACGATTACGGGTATCAAGGTAGCATTCTCTGATGGAACACAAAAAACGAAATTAATAACCAAGGAAGAAAAACTGGGAAGACCGATCATATATGACGAGCAAAAAGGTTTTCAATCTGGCTGATCGTGCTCGTTGCTGTTACATGGCACCTTAAAACCGTCATAAGTCCAGGAGCCTAACTTCAAAACACAGGTCTGTACGTCGTATGGAAAGAACTCAACGTCGATGGAGCAGGAGGATTTATATACGGCCGGCGGTTGCCAGACGACCAATCCCGAATAGTAGACCGTGGCCTTGGTCATCAGCGTCACCTCGTAGTTGCCGTCGGCGCTGGAATCACCGAAGAAACGAGCCGAACGTGATCACGATTGGCTCCTCAAGAAGAGCACCGGATGCTGCCAGTACGCGACTCCCCTTCACTTCAAATCGACCGGTCTGGAGACGCTTCGCGCGCGCCATCGTTTACTTTCCCATCGCCCCGGTTTCCCTCTTACGCGTCCCACACAATGTGATCCCTGGAGAGCTCTTCTTCACTGACTTTTGCAAGATCAAATTTATCATATCGTATTCTACTAATCGTACGTAACAAAAATTTCAATGCTCGGTTTCTTGAAAAATCATATTAAACTTTTATTAATTTTAGATTTACTTCATATTTTAAAGAACAAATTTAACCCCCTCCCCCCTCCCAGCTCGCATTGGATTTCTTTCTTTGGGGAACGATTGGATGTAGTTTGATATAATTTTCCAAGGGATTTTTGTTCCCCGTGGTACAGTACGAAATCAAAAATTTGACCTTGAAAAGGTCGGTCAAGGTGAGATCCGTGATTTCCAGAATCGCAGCGTGGTGGTCGTGACACCTTCTTCGTTCTATTTGACAGAAAGTTGGCAGCATCCGTTTCCCACCGTGGTTTTCGACTCCCCCCCTGACAGTAACGTTTCGGATACATGCAATCGGGACGCGATCCGCCGCGCAGTTAGGAAATCCACACGACGAGCCGATCGTTCGGGTACAGTCTAATCTTAAATTCTAAAAAAGGAGAGGGAGAAAGATCGTCCCCGACGCATCACGAGTCCTCGATCCACGTCGCGGAGGACCCCGTTGGTCTCTTTTGCCACGCAACTTAACGGCTACCATGCAAGTTTACCTTGAAGCCGTCATAGGTCCACGAACCAAACTTGAGGACGCAGGTCTGCTCGTCGAATGGGAAGTACTCCACGTCGATCTCGCAGGATGACTTATAAATGGCGGGGGGCTTCCACTCGACCAATCCTTGATGGTAGATGGTGGCCTTCGTAGCCAAGGTCACCTCGAAGTTGCCGTCCGCGCTGCGAGCGAGCACATTAGTGGTTCTGGGCGCTGCGGCGGTCGAGCTTACTTTGTATTTCCGATTCGATACCAAACCGTTAGTTTTTAGTATTTTTTTTTTGCATGTGTCTGAACGACGGCACGTGTTGTTTCGCGAAATGACGGGTTCGATGCGCGCGCACGCGCGATGGTTTCGAGGCTAGGATGCGCAGACGAGCGGCGCGCACGGCTCGAGCTCACATGATCCGCGCGAAGAATGCGAGTTTCTTTTTTGGAGAAATTGGAAATTTGATGTTAAAAAAATGTTTATTCTATTCTCCGAACAATTCTATGCCCTAAGACTTCACTGTAATTGAGTTAGATTTATAAATTAATTTACGAATGTTATAGTCCACGATTAAAATTGGCCCGGTGAGCGCTGAGAATGTTATCGTAAATGGACAAATAAATATTTATTGGATTAGAGAAATGTGCAATTGTAAAATTGTGCTCCGTACTTGAGTTTTCTTTTCTGTTTTCAAAAATGTGACGTTCAGGGAGTTCCATATAACTTGAGCGCATTAAATATATGATTTGTAGGAAAATATTAATAGTTTTGATTTTAAGGTCGTCAATAAAATAATTTGTTTCGACATATTCTTGTTTGCCTTATAATGAGTCCACAGAATCTATTTGCATCATAAATTTTGCGAAAATCCTACATATAGGATGGAAAGTATGAAACATGCGAGTCCTCGCGAAGGAATTGAAAAATACGAGAATACTAAAGAAGTGACAGCGACGAGGGTATCAGCATTTTTGCTCATGACGGAATTAGGTCAAGTTGGATGAAGGGCTAATATCAGAGTATCGATATAATCTATAAAAATAGTGAGTTCGAGCTAGAAATTATAGAATTTTAAAAATAGTAGTAAAATATAAAATAATGGCGACAAGTTAAAATAAATACAAATTAAATTTTAGAGTTGCAAGTGAAAATTGTAAGAGTATTTAAAACTATCATGCTAAGAACGTCCCAACCCCCATGCTGTAAAAATAAACTATAATTGCTTTTCTTTTAAACTAGAAATGCGTGCATGGAACGTACGAAATATACAGAGTGTGTAAATATCCCAACAAATACTTAATTTTAATATATTGATTTCCAAAACAAGGAACAAGAACATCTTTTTCTTTTCTGCAAGCTGGAGCTCATAAATTATGTGCAGCTACTTTCAACCGATCGTAATTGAAAAGAACAAATACTATTATTTACAAGTGGTTTCGAGCAAGGAATTTCGACGTTCTAATCCATATAATCCACATTCCTGTCAGAGATATAGTAGTTTCAGCTTGCAACGATAAACAACAGGAATCAATGAGCAATATGGATGCTTTAGAGGGTGTGCGTGGGGAGGGGGAAATACTTCAAAGACACTATGTCTTTTACCTAGAACGATGTACGCCCAGATTCGAATTCCGAAGAAAGCATTCAAGAGTCTTTTTTTATTTGCAAGCTCCATAAAAATTTAAGCTTTCGATTTATAAGGAAGTCGAGAAAATATTTGTAGAATATAAGTAGTGATTTACTTGCACCGTAGGATTGATTAAAAATTGATTTTCGTTATACATTTATGTCGAACAAAGAGTTCTTTGAAATCCTTTAAAATCTAAACGACTTTGCAAGTTTACGGTATTATCGTGTCTTATCTGTGGTCAAGGACAGTCACAGTGGTTTGTATGAATGTGTTAGGGTCAGTGTCGTTTAATTTGCGGCGGAACAGAGTTTCTAATCTATCGTAAATAGAGAAATCAGGTTGCAATGGCCGAGGTTTAAGGGGAGGACTTCGATTTCTGCAAGTTGAGACGTGGTAATTACTTAAATTAGTTTATAGCGCGTTCGAGACGAGGAAGTTATGGAACTGTCCCCGTAATAAACTATAATCCGGCCAGCAAACCGGCCAGGGAACCGCAGTGTCGGTTATGCCGCATAACGCATGCGAACTCGAACTTCTCAAGACTAAGTTTCCACCCAGTTGCCCAAAAAGATAGCCAATTAAACCTAAACTTAAAAACGAAAATTTCACTCGGAGCTGGTCAACGTCTAAGAAACCATTAAAAAGCCGAGAATACTCCACCCTTATTTTATGTGGGATACTATTTTTTCATAAAAGAAACTTTTACATAAAATTTTACTGTAATAGTATATTCTATAATATTTATTTAATTCTTTTCTAAGCTGGTCGATGTCTAAGAAACCATTAAAAAGTCGAGAATACTTAACCCTTATTTTATGTTTACAATTGTATTAACCTTTTTATTATATTGTGATATTTTCCAAATATAGTAGATCCTTGCACATGGGACACTATTTTTTAAGAACAGGAACTTTTATTTTACTTTTAGGGACATTTTACTGCGCTAATACATTTTATAATATTTATTTAATTTTCAAAATGGAATTTGAAAAATTAGTCTACACTGTTGCATAAAATTATAACAATGCTTCAAGAATGCTATTTTAAAAATTGTAAAAGTCGTTGAATAAAATAATTTTTTATTCAAAATGAAAATTTAAAAATCATTCTGTTTTCTCTATCTTTTATACAATAGTTTCTCTTGACTTTTGAAATTTGATTAGCATACCTTTCCTCAACGATTCGAAACCAAGATTAACACTTTCGAATACGAACAAACTAATCCCATCGCGAACTATAAACCAGAAAGATCTTCGTCTGCTATACTTTTACGAGGAACCCATTGTCTCCGCCGAGAGTCACACGTGACTCGTTTCTCCCCATCCTAGCAATTCATTAACCCAGATATCTGTCTCGCCAGCGCACACGTCTTCTTATAATGATAACGTTCCCCCTCCGCTCTGTGTTCCAACAGCACGTGGTTAAAAAAGGCGGCGTTGATAATGCGCTGCGCGTTACGAAGATCGCGAGAGGCATTTATCGGAACCAGAGATGGCTGCGATTCCAGCGTCTCTCATAATTTTCAAGCAATTCCTTACACGAGCACTTATTTATTACGATATGTCGAACGATTCGGGATTTGGAATCGGCATGTGACACCAATATGCCAAAATAACAAGCTCTAACAGTATCATAATAACTCCGAAAGTATCGAAATTATTTAAATTAATATCGAATACGTAGAAAACAGTCAAATATTGAGAATACATAGGAATCGAAATGACAAAATAAGAAAATTTTGAATAAAAACAAATTAATCAATTTTGTGACCTCTTGTATCTTAGTAAAAAATCATAAGTACTTCCTAACTTCTATATAAATTTTTCGATCGACTTGAAATTATACAGTGATCATTCTACATCAAAAATTGAATCGAAAATATAGAATAAAACTTTTTCATTCGAGGCTTTGTTCACAAGCAAAACGACTTTGAAAATTTGTGGGGCACGCGCTGGATTGCCTCGATACAACGGACCTTGTCGTAGCATTCTAATTCCTTGAGTTTTGAAAAAGAATAGTGCAAAGCAATATCGTTTGTATTGGATAGCTTAGGCAAATTGTTACGGCATTTGAACGATTCAAAATATACACTGTTACGTTGAGAAAGGTTTGTTGAAACTTATTAAGAAGAGTACGATTGTAAATGAATAATAATAATTTTGAGGAATATCTTAGGTGACAACAAGTAAATTAATAAAAGAATCTGTTTCGAAAGTGAACGTTCAATTTTTCGTGTAATCTTGAATATCGATACAAATTAATTCGAATAAAAATACATATAATATACAATGAAATCTGGTAAATCGAGGCATCCTGGTGCACCAAAAATTTTCAAAGTTGTTTTTCTTCAAAAAAAAGCCTCGCATAAAAAAATTTCGTTCTACATTTCTGTTTCATTTTCTCTAGAATAACTCCGAAAGTGTTGAAATTACTTAAACTAGTGTTGACTTGTCGAATATTATAAATAGAATAGTATGAATCGAAAAGTTTTATTCTATGTGAAAAATGTCCAGACTCATTATGAATGAAAAAAAATTGTTTCTTATGAGTTTTGAAACTGGTGTAGCGGCCATTGTATAGCCACTACGCCCTTGCCAGAGTATGAATGGGAATGGAATGTAAGGATAGTTTTAAGCTTTCTATTTTTCCATTTTCCCAGGGTCTCGTGCGAGCCTGGTCGTCCTGTTAAATACTTGGCGACCAGAGCCGTGCGAGGCGTCTGTTTTCCCTCAAGGTTTCGCCTGGGCCTCGGACCACCCTGATCCGGGCCCGGCGAGCCTCTTGACTTTTATGACTCGCTTTCGCTAAACTTTTCCTATACTGAGTATTTTCCAGTTTCGTTTTTCCGTCTTTCTGTCCTGTCTCTTTTTCTCTACCTTTGCTATTAGGGTAAGAAATTGTATATATTCAGGGGACGTGAGAAGAAAGACCCCCAGTCTATTTTAGACCTCAGTCTGGCTAAGACGTCGCGCGTTTGCGAAGCCAGTTATAGTGTCGATTTTACCTACGTGTGGCTACACCCCCGACACCCGCGGAAATAAACTCTTTAATAATTGTTGGGGTAGATTGAGGTTTGTCACTGGAACCTCCAGCCCCCTCAATTAATTGGTGACCCCGACGTGATCAACGTTGTAAAAACAATTGTAGTGTACGCGGGTGACGCGCAAATAGACGCTTGTTTAGTGATTAAGTGTAGTGTAGCCATAGGTTAAGTTTTTTGTGAACTATAGACATTTTTTAATTTATTGGACACGATTAGTGACAATGTCTCGCGACACCGGTAGTGCATCGGTGTGTGTTCCGTCGGCCGTCGGCACGGGTAGTGTAACCTCCGCCATGGAGGCTATCATAGATTCTATGATGGCCCAGTATGCCTTGTCGATCAGACAAGAGCTCGCCGCGATGCGGCAAGGGTTAAGGAGCGAGGGACGATACTCGGGTCACGAGAGGAACCGTCCGCCACCCCCGGAGCATCAACAGCCGCACCAACGCCCCAGTTCTCGGCGTCGTACCGAGGTAAGACAGGGGATGTGCTTTTACCACTGGCGGTGGGGGAATAAGGC